AAGTATTCTAAGTATAGTATTTTAAATATGTTGTCATTGCTATAGGTTAATTGTTTGCTGTTTGAAGCTGTACATTAACTGAAGACTATAAAGAATTACTTAACATTATTGTTTATAATTTTAGCATTTTTGTTTAATACACAAAGTTATTTTTTTATCATTGATTATTATGAATTTTGATTAAAATTTTTGTGAGAGCCATTAATGCAGAAGCAGGTACAATGACTTATAAACAGAAATGAGATTAAATCATGAAAATTGACAATAAAATAAGAAACACACTTCAGTCATACATGCAGAGTACAAGTCAACAATGAATTTAATTAATTAAACCAGTCTTATAGTGTTATAGTCCTTAGTTCCTAAACCCAGTCTATAGATCTTCAGTATATGAATGAGAGATCAGTCATTGAGATGATGAGTTCAGCCTCAGGTCCACAACCTATAATAAATAATAAGAAATGATTAATGATACTTTACTGATAAACATAAAGTCTGACATAGATTTGATTCCAACAATAATTTGCTGACTTATAGCCATTTTAAAAGTGGTAAATTTTCAAGAGAATCAAAAGGGACAAATGCTAATAGTCCATGGTTTTCTACAAAAATCACGCTAAACGAATGGAGGGAACACAATAACAAAAATAGATAGTAAATTCAGCAACTTAAAAAGTTTAGACTCAATTAACTCAAACTTTCTACACAACATAAATACATGTACATGTATATGCATCAGAAAATGTAATAAAATCAAATTTTGATGAAAATCAGCTCAAACATTATACGCAAAACAAGAACATGTATAAATAACATAAAGTGCAATAAAAATGAAAAATTCTCTCCTTTTCAATTTTGGCAAAATTAGGCCGTAACCCTGTACTTTAGTACAGTGACTTTTAGCCATTTTTAGAGCAACTTTAAAAATTTATAAAAATCCATTTTGGTTGAAATTAGCTCAAACTTTTTATGTAATAGAAGTACATGTATTTGCATCATAAAAATGCAAAATTTCCTCCCATTATAATTAATTTGGCGAAATTTTGGTTATCCTAGTACAGGGACTCTTAACCAATTTTAAAGCAACTTAAAAAGTCTCTTATGAACAAAATCAGCTCAAATTTTCTACACAATATGAATGCATGTATATGCATCAGGAAAAAATATAAAAATGATAAAAATGAAGCTCTCTCTTCATTCAAAATATTGGCAAATTTGATATATGACCCACTATATACTCATAAAACATTTCATTTCATACTATCAGTAACTAGTTGATATTTACTTCATTGTGAACTGTCTGAATGTTGCCAAGTCATGGTCTACAAATCACTGTCCAGTTAGCCCACATGCCTCTATGTAAAATGACTGGTGTGTAAAATGGATCCTAATAGAGAGGTCATGATTGTTGAATAGTAGATTCATTCCAATGGATCAGAGACTGACACTGAGTATTATTGCTAAGTCTTCAGAGGTCAGGATGATATCACTGCAGTCTTTAGTGCTTAATTCCAGCACAGTCAACCCACGTGTATTCACGTGGGTAGATCTAGTCCACACCTACAATATTATTGTCGGACACGCCCTAAACCTGCTGAGTTCAGCTTCCTGACTCGTTCTCAAGCCTCTCATTCTCTTCTTTTCTCATTTTCTTTCGCTCTCTTTTGTTAGGAATGGCTTATCGGGACACTCCAGTGAGTATATAATTAATGTATTGTACATAATGTGTTAGTAATGTACTAATACAATGTATATATGTATACATGATAGTATATTACTGTTGGTTAATGTGTGTGGGTAGATCTACATGTACATGTATTTGATTCAATTGATGTAGTTAGTTTGGGAGTTGTCCCAAATTTCAGATATAATGCTTTTGTAACATCTTGTACTGTACATGTACATACAGTGTACTGTAGTATGCCGTGCACAGCTAATGGCCTCAGAGTTATTTTTGCTTTGAGACCAGGGGCGGATCTGGGTCAAGTTTCATGGTAGGGCAAAGAAGTGGGTGGGGCATTTATAACTTTCAATAAGTAGTTATTAACTATTAATAACTTGTAATTAACTTTTTATAATAATTATAATGAATTAAGACAAAATGATTGATCTGTTCTTATCTCCGTTTTCAAATCTGTTCTTATCTCCACTTCTACCTGTACTGTTCCACTGCTTTGTGGATGAGAAGATAGTTGGGGCCCCTTTAAAATTGTAGTTAAGAAGAGACAGGTGCTTACTCATTGTCCTTTTTTCAGTGCACATCTTATGTGGTTTTATAATGAATTTATTTAAATAACCAAAGATTAAAGAAGCCATAATAAGCACACCCACAAGTTTATTTAAGATGATGCATATGAATTTCATTATCTAATTATGAATCTCATTATCTTATAAAGTTGATGCCTGGGCAAAAACCCGGGCTTGCCCAGGTTCAGATCCGCCCCTGTTTGAGACAGTAAATTTTCCATATTCATTCAGACAAATACCTACCATCAATGATCCATTGGGAGTGATACATAAT